AGGTGGGAAGTAAAGTCTTGAAAATTAAATATTCTTTTTTATACGTACCAGAAGAAAAAGTGGGAAAGATTTGTATTAAGTACGAAAACTCAATTTTGATTGAGGGAATTAGAGATGTAGTGATATATTTGAAAGAATTAAATGCTGAAAGTACAAAAATAAATGTAGACCAGATGAATTGCTATTAGGAGCGCGGTGATATGGTACTGATAAGAGGTGTTTCGAGAGAATCACCAGTTGTGAGTGCGAAAAGCCAATTTTAATTGCGGCGGATTTACCATTAACATCCGGAATACAAAGTCCGCAAAGAAAGAGAAACGAGGCCAGAAATAGTAGTAGGACGAGAAAAGAACGAAATTGAACGAGTTAAAAAAACTGCGAAGAACGGGGGAGGCAAGACAATAAATAAGAAAATCGTCCAAAACAACGAAAAGAGAACTACATAGATCCAGCAGATGCAGTGACCAGCCGAGTGATCAGCAATGCGTTTTGGGAAATCAACGAACTAAGAACCAAGTTTCGAGAGAGATTTGAAGCGGCAGGAATAAGTACGAACACTGAAGACGGAATTCAAGCGCTCAAGCAATTTTGCTCGGGGTAATTTCCAGTATCAGTACTGTGATTTACCACTTGAGTCAATCCTGGAGCCTCATAAAATAAATTAGAAAACTGTCTTAACAACTGCTGAAACTTCGCTTTCTCTTCCGTGTTCACTCATTCAAATACAAGGCCGGTGGCTTTACTTCTTCTTTATTCATTTCATTCGTGTCGAACTGTGCAGTAGCTTCCTGAAAATTAAATTTTGCTCCCATAGGTTTTAAGAAATCTAACCCCAATTATTACTTTCCCTTGTAGATGTTTTACTACAACCATCTTGGTATTCTTTCTTCATCTGCAGAAGGTTACTTTTCCCTGCGCATTCACAGTGTTTGCTTTGAGAGGTAATAACTCTTGTTCCTTCAACACCAAATGCTGCATACTTTTAAAAAGCTTTTCTTAATTTTCTTTTTTTCTTTTTTTTCCAGAAAACTACTTTGCACCCCCTTGTATTCAATAATGCATCCGCTGATACACTGTTTAACAGAATATGGATCACTGACAGGGAAGCGTTTTTTATGGACATTTGTATTTAATTGAATCTAACCGGAATTTGTTCCTTGTATTTAACTGACCTTACCATAGCGGTAGGGTTCCAACGTTGTATTTAATTGAATCTAAGTGGAATTTCTGAAGTGTCTGTACACCCTTTTGCGATTTATGTTGGCGATCGCTGTCGTCGGCTGAAAATTTCTTCCTTCTCTCAAAATGTCTGTTGCCATCAAAGCATGGGCTTTCTTCCGTTATAGATCTATGAAACTGTCCGCTGTATACCGAAGTGCGTCTACTCATTGACATTCGCCTTCTTTCAAACTTTACCGCAAGCTCAAATAATTATTCTGGAGTAATTGGATTTCGTAATTCAATAAAATTCTGAATTTGAGGCAACAACCTAGGCAGTATAATTTGGATAAACTCCGCATTGTATTTTCCCATACAATAAGTTTACGACTTTTATTGCCCTTAATATGACTTTCAGACTGTACAATGGTTAGGAAAGTCTACTGCAGTAGGGTTAGGCCCGGCTTCGAATTCCGGAGAAGGCATGGTTGTAATTGTACGTCCTTTCATAGGCGGTATCGGTGGCCCACCTATTAGGTGCTTCCATAATAAAGTGCTACCACTTCAGGCCTTAGTAGTGGCCAAGCATAAATCGGCTAAGTGTTCGACAATGGAAAAAAATTGTCCTTAATATGAATTCCGTCACCTCTTCAATCTTGGTCTAATATGTACCAAACGATTCTGCTTCTAATTTTGCCCTGTCTTACACGACGAGAAATATTTTTACAAAGGCGGATTTAAGCACTTATAAATTTCACTGAATGGTTCTTCCAACAAAAATTTACAACGCCTTGGTACCAGCTCTGTGCCTGTCTTCGAAGTGTGGCGGTTGCTGTCGTAGTGATTTGTACTTCTGCAGCCGAGTAAAGCAAAAATTCAGAATCTAATTTTTTAAAAACGTCACAATCGAACTTATGCCATCAAAAATGGGAGCGAATTTTATGAACTCTCGCAATATATCTACGATAAATCTGAAGCCTTCCATAGGACTTACTGGGGCCGGCAATCTTAGGGGGGGCAGACTAAATATTGCCTTGACTTGCGATACGGTTTGTAATTTGTTCGGGCGCTACTTACGGAGTCTTCCTTTATCCGGTAAAAGGTAATCAGTCCAAAACCCTTAACAGATGTGAAGCGAATTATTGCTATGTCTGAACAAAATCACAAAACAGATAAAGGTTTAAATAAACCTTTTTATTTAAACAGACCTCAGAGCTTGTTCTAACAAAAGTAATCATTCCTCGTGGCGATGCAACTAAAGGAACAATAAATTTCAGTTTAAAACATAGTACGGTAGTCAACATGTGCTCAATTAAATTTTAATCTAAGCTGATTCCGTAATTCTAACCGACGAATCAAATTCGTCGGTTTGAATTTCTTTTGTTGGAACTGATAACACAAAGGCGAATAATTGCAACTTACAGAGCTGGCAGGAATTCAACGTAGCGTGTCCGCGCACTCCAACGACATGTCCTGTCTTACAATCTAAAACTTCAATTTAAATACTATCTGACTGATTAGCATTCTGTTGAGAAATAGGAAAAGAGAAGTTATAGTAAAGTTTGAAATCATAAATAACTGGTTAACTTAAATTCTTATGTATTAATTATTTTCATATGTTCCAGTGTTTTTAAATATTAAGCTATATTTTGTTTGTTAAGAGTTCATATAAATTCTGTGAATAAACATGGAAAAGAGCAAAAAATTAACCAAAAATTTTGAAACTTTTTTTACAACTCCAAGCAGTAGCGATTTTTACTGGTGAAGAATCTTCACCAATTTACGTCGCAATTAGAAATAGTATAACAAATAAAAACAAAACAAAGAAAATCACTTTCTAAAGGTAAACATTGGTCAGATGAATGCGTCCACGCCAGAACAATGTTTTTCTCTTTCCTTTTATAACATAAGATCTTAAGCTGATTTTTCAATTTTAGTTGCGTTTAAACGCAAACACTTCATTTTTTAAATTTATGTATGATCCCTGAATTTGACCTCGAGATTTAGAAATTAAGCATCACATTTAATTGTTTCGTACGGGAGTCAAACGTCTTGTATTTTATTTTATTTTTTCAATGAGTATAAATGTTCCACAAATGTAACTTAGGGACCTAGAGAACAGTATTAAACATTAGATTGCATAACTTTTACAGTTTCGTAAGATTTAAAAATGCTTAAATATGAACATTTATATCATTTAGTCATATTTATAAACAGAAGTTCATGTCTACGACCAATAATGACAGAAATAAAGCCAGCATGAAACATTTAGTCAAAGTTTTGAATATAATTCATCTTACTAACATTTTAAATAAACTCCTATTTGGGTAAAGATGGCTTACTTTGTCATCCATAGAAAAGGTGATCAGTGAATGAACTTATGTTATCGAGAAATTAATCTCTTAAACAGTAGAGAATACAGCTACGTTTTTTGTACTACATACTATGACCACTGAATCATTGTACAATGTGGATTTCGTAAAGATAAAGCAATGATAGAGACCATTTTTAACTTACCGACAAACCACTTAAAAATTTAAAGAATTCCCGACTGATTGATGTTATTTATTCGGGGATTTTAAAAGCAATAGTGACTGAATTGATTGACAAAATTAACTTTATGTTATGCATAAATTCGAAATTCTTGAAAAGTTAATTGAGCTGGTACAGCGTACTATGGAAAAAAAACTTTTTTCTTAAGGGAAAAAAAAATGTCAAACTATTTTTAGGTCAAGTATGAACAGGAGAGTACAAGAAGTGAGTGAGACACCAAACCTTCACCAATGATTTTACGTCATTACTACCGCACTAAGATACAGCTCCATTCCTATTTTTCCAAAAATCCCCTCGGAAAAGTAATCTGAGGATCTTCCACTTCTTTTCTCTTACCATAAAACCTGTCGGCTCGCCGGTAATTTTAATGTCCCCATGGTCAAAGTGAATATTTATTAATACGTCAATCTGATGGTTAGACTAAGATATTCAAGTCAAATTTGCTATCAAATACAAAAGGAACACGTCGTAAATATGTCTAAGTATTTGCAAAGCAAATACAGCTTACCGAAGCTCAAGCCGATGAATTTTAAATTTTATCATTAGGGAAGGCAAACAGAGTAACGACTAGCAAAGGCTGCCTTTCAAACCTCAGGCACACTTTACACCCTAGTGGGATATGATCAAAGTAAAAGTAAAAATGGAGGCAAACTAATATGATAGTTGGACTAATTAATGTAAAGCCATATAAGTGATGGTATACAATATATTAAGGTCAAGAGAAGGAATTTGCTGAAGCTATTACAAGAAAGGGCAAAGGAAATCTGTCACCGCTAAAATTTCTAACCATAGCCAGCAGGAAGCAGAATGAATGAAAGAATCAGGTTGAGGTGGCTAAAAAACAGTGAAGATAATTTTAAACTCCTAAAATGTATAATTTCCTAAAACTTTAACTAAAGGATGAACACACTGGAAAATTCTCTGGTTCATTACGGACAGTCGTGCCATTGATAGTGTTGATGGTGAAGTGCTGGAATGTATTATCCTTTGGCAGGGTTCACTGCTATATTAAGATTTCAAAAACAAAAACAAAACTTTCTTAATACCAATTCCTTTAACATTTTATCCACTGATGACATTTTAATTCCCAGGGAGTCGGTACCGACCACTTTGGCGACCCCTGTCACAGGTGCATCTCGAATGTTCTCCTTTCTAGAATGGGGTTTCACCATAGGTGCAGATGTGGGAAGCGCAAGGGGACGGGAGCAAGAGAGGAAGAAAGAGTCGCCAATGAAGTCCGGAATGCGTCAGAGATTCCGCCAACGACCACAGCGCCCTCTCTTCTCTCATGACGTCATCACACAAACCTCTGTGCAGCGGGCATCCGTTCTCCGAGAATCTTCCCCCAGCGCGATCCTCCGCATCACCGACCACAAACAACTCTTGACGACTTCGACCGCCTGCTATCCTCTGGACATGGGACTGTGCCGCGAAAGATCGTGACCCCGCAGAAGACCGCGATGAGCAAGATCCGCAGGAAACGGACGAGGCAGTGGACCGCCCTCGAGGACGGGATGGTGGCAGTGGAACCCCGCCCCACCCCCCCGCGACCCTGAGGATACTTCGATGGTGTCCCCCACCAGCATGTTGTTGTTCCTTGGAGGCGCTCACACCTTGGAAAAGGGCGAGGAATACTAATAAAACACACTCTTTGTTCGGCTCATTCTTCGAATCACAGGTGGGTGGAAAAAAGAGAAAAAAAAATTCAAGTAATGGAACCTACTAATCATATCATTTACATACTTCATTACACTTGAAACATTTATCTTTCATTTTATTATCCTGAATCCTTACGCCAGTTTTCAGCTTTAAGAAAGCCTCTACGTTAAAACATTGACAGCAATTATTATTATTATACTTATTATTATTATCATTAAATCCCTCTAAGTTAAAATCAAACATAGAACGCAACAGTACCTCGGATTTTAGCAATAACAACATGAATAATTGGCATAGTCTAAGAGATAGGAAAAAGTATTTTAATACCGTGTATTAAAAGTACTACATAAATTAAATACCATGTTACAATACCTAATATGGTATTACAGCGTTGTTTCTAGTTTAACAAAGCAATTGGTATATTTAATTTCTCTAATCACTATACAAAATTGGTTTGAAAATTCTATATTAAAACTATGGAATGAGAAATAGGAAGAAAAGTAAAGGGAAAAAATCGATTGAACGAACTTATTATTCACATTGCAGCACATACCTGTTAAGCTTGGCATCTAGATTATCGCAATCTAGATAATTTTTAACTTTCAGTTTGTAAGAAAATAAAGGATTTTATCTAAAAGTTACTTAGAATGGAAATTTTATTATTACAATCATAAGTTGTACTTCAGAATTCTGAGTTAAAGTATAGGTTTAATTACCGATGGTACAATTAATTTCCGTAATAAATTTATAAATAATAGGTTTAAGAGATCCAAGAAGCGTCCCGGTTAAGAAGGAAATTTAATTGCAAGAATTTTTAAAATTAACAATATAATTATTATAAATTAATATTTACGTCAACATATTATTCAGTTAGACCATTTTAGGCATGAGCATTTAAGTAACAATTGTGAATTTGCGCATTTATTTAAATGCGCAAATTTCTTCTTAGCCTATTTTACGAAGATTTGTTTTGAATCTCCTGCTGTAAGCTTCTGTTATTTCTTTATAAATGTATCTGACTTCGGTAGGTGAAGTAAATTCTCTCGAACTAAGCAAAGTTTTCCAAATTTTTTACTTCTTTGAGGTACTTGCTTTTAAAATTTCACGAAATCTTTTGATACTTCAGGCTGGCGATGGATTGGAAGCATTATTAAATTTAGAGGCAAAAAGAGTTTTTGATTTTTGAAATAATTGATAATATTGTTCGTACAATTGCTGGCACCTAAATTCTCCACTTTAATGACGTTGGGATGAAAGGAGTCCAGTATTATCTAATGCTTTAATTTAAAAAAACGAATTATTTACTTTTCGCTGATTATTAGTCTAGAGAAAAAATATTTCACAACAATGTTTTAATAGTTTATTAAATGATATCCTTTCCAATTCCATAATAAAATTGTGAACAATTTACTTTTCTAACGGTAGGAAAGGAAAGACAAAACAGATTCATTAATCTGATCATATCGTTCACATTATGATATACCTGTTAGTCTCGGTACTCATTAGTTTATTTATTATTGTTTTCAAACTTTTTAATTACAGTTAACTTTAAATTTCTAATTACACAATTTTTTAAATCAATAATATAGCTCTTGAGAAAACTCCCTTGTAAACATTTTAACGGGCATTGTTATTATTACTATTACTCGCACTTTTACAGTATTTTTAGTTAAAAATTCCTGACCTCAGTGCTATGAATTAACATTAATAATAGTAACAGTAACAGTAGTTGTCATAATTTAGGTAGTAATTCAGTTAGGTAGGTATCTTAGGTAGAATTAAGCGGTTCCTTAAGTATGCTACCTAAATAATATCTAAATTACATATCGTACCACATTAGAATACATAATGTGGCCCCACAATGATGTAATGCTACTTGTATGAATAACAATTGATATGATGATTAATTAGTTCGGTTATAATTTAATAAATAGTAATTGATTTAACAACAGTATAGTAAAATACAGATCACTGTATAGTAAAATACTGTTCGTTTTTTCAAGTGACAGATAGATGGGAAAGAAAAGAAAGAAAATTCAGCTAATCGAGACTATTATTTATAATACGTATATACCTCCTAATATTCGCACTCATGTTTATTCGCACTTCAGTTTTATTACTAATAAATTAATAGTTCAGCACTTGAGAAAAACTGAATCTAAAAATTTTGATAACAATTATTGTTATTATTACTGTCACTCGTGTTTCTGCAGCTAAAAAAAAAAGAAATAAAAAAGCTCTGTCTACGAATAATAGTAATGCTAACAAATAGTTTGTCCTGCGTGATGGATCTATATATTTATGTTCTTCGGCTACCAGTTGAAATTGCACTTAAGTTATGTACTGTACTATAACAAAGTCCTCCGTTACTACTACTGATATAACAAAGACCTAAATGCTAATTTAATAAATAATACTTGGTAATTTCCAAAATAATTTTATAAATAATTAACTTAATAACATCATAAAGAAACTAGGATCTTTTCTTTTTCCAGTGACAGGAGACTTATTTTTTTAAAAAAGAAAAAGAAATTTGAATACTCAAATTTAATCATTACATTATGTACAAGCCTATTTAATCTCGTATTCTTGGAATGAGATTCTGCCGTTTTATTCCCTTAGTATTTTTAATTTAATATTCAGCTTACAACACGACATCCTAGGTAAGAATTACTATAAAATAATATGGTTAATATTATTGCTATTATTTTAATTTTAACGAATGTAAAAATTATTACAAAAGTATTTATAGTAATTTTTACATAGTACGAGCTTTCACGAACTGGAAACTAAACTATTTCGAGTAGTTAAGCAAAAATTGCACGAATTATTGTCCAAGATTACGAGAGTTTGAACAGGTGCGTACATAATGCAATTAAGAAATTCAAAACTCGAGTTTTCTTTTATTTTTTTCAGCCTTCTGTTACTCGCGGAGTTTTCGATTAAAGTGATTATTTAATAAACTTCGATTAATTTCTTTATTAATTTAATAAACAATTGCTTTAATAATCCTGCAATCATTGCTTCTCTCTTCGAATCACAGCCTTCTGTTACTCGCGGAGTTTTCGATTAAAGTGATCATTTAATAAACTTCGATTAATTTTTTTATTAATTTAATAAACAATCGCTTTAATAATCCTGCAATCATTGCTTCTCTCTTCGAATCACAGAAGGCTGAAAAAAAGAAAAGAAAACTCGAGTTTCGAATTTCTTAATTGCATTATGTACGCACCTGTTCAAACTCTCGTAATCTTGGACAGTAATTCGTGCAATTTTTGCTTAACTACTCGAAATAGTTTAGTTTCCAGTTCGTGAAAGCTCGTACTATGTAAAAATTACTATAAATACTTTTGTAATTAGTGTTACTGTTATTAGCGAAACTTTTCGTTAAAATTAAAGTATTGGTTTAATTACTGTAATTAAGATTAATTTCCTCAAAGATTTATAAAAATTGGTTTTATAATTCAATGATAAAGTTGTGATCAGTTCATTCTTCGAATGACAGATGAAAAAGTTTAGTTTAGTTTATTTTATAATGAAAACGCTCACGAAGGCTATCTGTCTAAAAGGAGAGATGCCTTTGTGGAGGACTTTCTAAGGGAAACTGGATCTTATGCATTAGGAAAACCATGAAAGTACACATGCAGCAGACCGTTTGCGTGAAATCGAATTCAGGTCGGAACTTCCGGTATGGAACCGCAGTCGAACTACAAATATGCAGCGACTTTAGCGTTCGGCCACTGGTGGGTTTATAAACGGTAAAGGAAAGAAAAATCTTCCGTTAATCGAAAATAATAATTCCCTTCATGTACATATCTTTCCGTCTTGGTAGCCATGGATTTGTTTACGAATAATATTTAGAAATGTTAATTAAAAGAATTGTTAAATTGCTAATTTAGCTCTTAAAAAAATTTATGCAAGAATTTTGAAAACGGGCGTCGTTATTGTTACTGTTATTAGTGATGACCCCATGGCATTCTTAGTTAAAGATCATTACAGTACCATGACTAAATATTAATAACAGAAATAATAATTGCCTTAAACTAAGAAATTTCTGTATTATACGATCTAAGTTATACTGGAATTATCATATCAAATTGCAATATATAATATGGCACTCTAGCTATCTTACGGCTGGTTCAATAAATAATAATCAATACGATTAATTTTTTTAATAAATTAATATGTAATTAATTTAGTAATAGAGTAATAAAATTCTGATTAATTCATACATCGAATCCTAAAATAAAGGAAAAGAAAGGAATAAATATTCCATTAATTCCAGTATTATTTTCATTATGTACGTATCTATTAAAATTCGCATATGTGAATTTTTCTTCCATTTTACTAAATAGAATCTTTAAATTAATAACTTAGCTCTTAAAAAAGGTACTATGTAAAAATTTTGAAAATGATTCCTATTACTATTATTAGTATTAGTATTACTGATCGTTCTACAGCTTTATTAGTTAAAGATCATTGTAGTAGTACGTATAATGTTAATAATAGCAGCTACTGCAGTGACACATGCTTCTTGTGACACCCTTTAATTATACCTAAATTATGTACTGTATCACACTGCAATATATATCGTGGTATTACAGTCATCTTAATGCTGTATCGCAAATAATAATTCGTATGATTCATTTCCTTTCCCAACAACTTCTTTCTTTCTCAACAACTTTCAACGATAAATGTATTAATGTTCTTTGAGCATTGCGTGAGATTAATACCGTAATTAAGGAAGTTCGCCTTTCGTGGCAATGCCACTCAATTTCAAAATCTTTTATAATACTAATAATTTGTATGGAAATTCTTCAGTATTCATTATGTTTCAGGTCCGCCTGTCTTGTGGCACTATCATTAAGCTCCTTTTATGCTCTTCCCTTTTTCGATGATCTTTGAGAAAGATTCGACATGTTTCATTGCATATGTAAAGATAAAAAAAGGAAATTTACTACAAATATGATATATATGATGGTTGTTACAGGAAAATTATTGTGTCTCCTATCATCTAAT